GCTGGCCGTGTGCAAGGCAAATGCCCTACCACTGTGCTATCACTCCTCAAAAGTCATATGGATAAAATAAGACATAATCATAATTGAATGGTGAATGGTTATGCCTCGTTTACAAAAAGCTTCAGAAAGACCCTGTACTTATAAATAAAATCATTTTTGAGCTGGAGACAGTAGAAAGTGAACCTTGAGCTACCTGAAAGACTGATAGCAAGAAATGAGAAAATCAGAGACTTCTACCTGCAGCTGCAAAGAGTTTGTTCCTTGGAGTATAGGAATGAACAGAATAAGGGAAGGTCAATTTAGATGGCATTAGCATTAGAATGCTTTGCTAATCTGAGGGATTTAGATTTAACAGAGGAATCAATGAGAGGAAGAAACATGTTCAAAATTCATATGTTTTTTGATAAAAATCTAGGTGTCAGTGGGTAAAGTCAACCCCTCATTTTCTTATTTTTCCATCTAATCTTGCTATGAGTCACTAAGGGTCAGCTTGGGACTTGCTGGGTTTAGCTGATCTTGTTTCCTCATGACTTAGAACACTGTGATACTAATTAAAAATCTTACCTTAACTCCAAGCACTGGTTTTCCACCGACCTATGAATGTCCCAACAGCCAGGCTGGTACTTTCTGTACAGCCAGGCTTGGGGACTTCTTTTTTATACAGTTTATGGAACATCTCTCCTGCCAGGATACGGCTATTTGAAGAGTAATTCGTGGAAACTGTAGGAGCAAATTAGTAAAAGATTCAGAGGAACAGGCCACTTGCAGCCAGTGTTAGAAATGCAAAAGCACAGTGGAAAGCTGAGCTTCAGGTAGCTCAAGTTATTTCTTCTTTGGAGGAACTGAGAATGCATCCCCATTGAGTTTACCATGACAACTTGATCACTTGATCACTTGACTTCCCGTTAATCGGCAATTTGCTCGAGCGGGCGCCAGTAACGTCTCCATTTGTCCCTGTCGCGTGCTAGTGTAGCCCAATGGCGTCTGTTCACTCTAGGAACATGAAGAGCCTCAAACCAATCGTTCATGATCTTGATGAAGAAGTCTGACCATCTAGTATGTGGGCGGCCACGCGGTCTTTTGACATCCCGTGGAATCTAGTTGGTAACAGCTCTAGTCCAGTGGTCATCTTTAAATCTCATTACGTGACCAGCCCATCTGATTTTTGACACCTTGGCAAACGAGACAGCGTCCCTGATTCTTGATCGTCGACGGATGTTGGAACTCCGGATTCTTTCTCTCATTTGAGTGAAACGTGATATTCCAAGCATAGCTCTTTCAATTCCTCTTTGGGAGACCCGAATAGCATTCTCATCCTGTTTACGTAGGGTCCAGGTCTCTGAGGCATATGTTAATGCAGGAAGAACAGTGGAATCAAAGAGATGTGCCCGGAGCCGGAGGTTCTTCATCCTCATAGTTATTTCTTCGACGTTTTTGAAGGTGTTCCAAGCCGCTCTCTTCCTCCTGCGCAGCTCGGGTGCCAGGTCATTTGTCCTGTTGACTTCTCGACCTAGGTACACATAGCTGTTGCATTCAGAGATGGTGGTTCTGTTGAAAGCGGATGGGGTGTCAGGAAGAGACTGTTTCTCATAAACATTGTCTTCGTAAGATTCAGCTATAGTCAGACCTTTCCACACTCATGGTCGAAGTCGGCCAGCATTTATGCCGCTTGACTGATGTTTGGTGTTATTAAAACAATGTCATCAGCAAAGCGGAGGTGGTGTAGTTGCCGACCATCTATCTTCACTCCCATTCCTTCCCATTCCAGTCATCGCATGATGTTCTCGAGGGTGGCACTGAAGAGTTTCGGTGAAATGGTATCACCCTGCTGAACCCCTCTCTTGACATGGATGATTACTTCTTTGTACAATGGTGAGATCCTGGTAGTGAATCCGCAATACAGCTCACGGAGGATCCTGATGTATTGGGCTTGAATGCCCTGATTGGCTAGGGCTTCAATGACCGCTTCCATCTCAACAGAATCAAAGGCCTTCTTTAAATCAATGAACATCAGACAGAGCGGCATCTTGAACTCCTGAGAAACCTCAATGAGCTTAGTTATCGTGTGGATATGGTCGATGGTGCTGAATCCTTTGCGGAACCCGGCTTGCTCGCATGGTTGTCCTTCATCTAGTGTTCCGCCAATCCTATTTAGGATGACTCGAGTGAACAACTTGTAGATGACAGACAATAGGCAGATCGGGCGATAGTTGCCAATGTCATGGATGTCTCTCTTCTTGAACAGTAGTACAGTCCTGCTGGTTTTCCATTGGGATAGAACCTTGCATTCAGACAGGTAGCGTGTGAAGAGCCGAGCCAGTATATTGATGAGTACTGACGGCAGGTTCTTCAGGTGTTCAGGTCTGACCTTGTCTGGGCCGGGTGCTGTTCGTTTCTTTACTGACGAAATGGCGTGTTGGATTTTGGAAGGGAGAATATTGGGAACGACATATCCATCCTGTGGAATTTGGTATGTCGGCAAGTGGACATGGCTATCGAAGAGTTTTGAGTAGAAGTCATGGATAATCTTCTCCATTGCCGTTCTGGAGGATGTGATAGATCCATCAGGACATCAGAGGGCAGTCATCTTGGTCTTGTAGTTGGCGAAGGACAGGCGGGCGTTACGAATACTTTTCCCGGCTTTTGCCACATCTACCAGCACTTCTGCTCTTCTCTCTTTGAGGTCTTCCCTGATCGCATCTCTGCACTGCTTTGCGAGCTCGGACGTTCGCTTGCGGTTGCCTGAGGCATGCGCCAAACTAGGTTGGTGAATAAGCTCAAGAGTTTTCTAAGACAGGTGTTTTTTTGTGGCTATCTCTCTCTTGGTGTTCCTTGCACAATCATGGAGGTGCTGAACCAGTTGATCTTATTCCTTATCAATGTTGTCAACAATGGCATCTTCCCATGTTGCCGTAATAGTGCCAAAGACCATGACAAGGGAATATAAAAAATGAAGGCTAGAACAGCAGCACTTTATAGCTTTGCACCCTTGAAAAGGTCACCTTCCCTAACCATAAATGCTTTTATAAGCATTTAAAACCAGTGAACTCTGAATGGTTGACAAATAAAGAGGTTCATTCAGAGTGGCCTAAAACTTGATCATAGGATCTTTGTCTTAATAAGACATCTCGTGGTTGGGGTGCTGTCAGCACTTAACTGTGCCTCAGTTCTGAATTCAACCTGTGTGGCCTCACATATGTAACTGAACTTATTCAAATGGGGCACAATTGAATTCAAGACCCTTCAAGTATCTAGAAAATGAAGATACTCTTTCGTGCAGAGTTAATTGTGAGAATGAAACATGATGCTGTGGATTTGCTTCAGAATAATGCAGGAAACATGATCTGGATGTGACTGAGTCATGACTGTTGCAGCTGAGCAGCAGATTCAGAGACTCCTAATATTGTTCAATCTACGTGATCCTGAAGTAGCTTTGAAATTACCTGTAATTAAAACCTCTTTAAAAGATGAAATCTGCAAAAATACCTGTTAGGCATAGTGTACTTCAAAAGATAAAGAAATTGTGATTGATTTTGCTCCTAGATAACACTTCACAATCAATATTAGTATTTTACTAAGAGAATAAAATGTTCAAGCTAAGTGAGTTTAACTAAAATAATTTTCCTTTGTGACCATATTTTGAAAATGCCCTCACTAATTTAATATTACATTAGAGTCCATTTAAGAAGTAATAAAGGAAACAAATGTGGCCTCTGTGTTTATTATCATGCTACAGAGTCTGAGTAAAATATTTTATTATTTTATTGCAAGGTACATGTAATTAATGTATCTTTTCTTCTTTGATTACCTGCAGTTGTACATTATCAGAAAAATATCCTGACTTTGTAGTTTATTATTTGTTCTCAGATTTTATTTTGCTCTGTTAGGAAAAAATGTTTTTAAACTAAAAAATTGCTGCATTGTTTTCTTTGGTTTACAAGAATAAAAATTTAAGATGACATAGAAATATTGAAATATGCTCAAAGAATGTTCATACCAGTTCATGTAATGTCTGCAATTCAATTTTCATCAGTAAGAAATTTTAATTCTAATGATAGGTGGCTAGTAGTTTAGAAATGAGTATATCTTATTGATTATCCATTAGGATAATTGGTCTCACTTGTAAGACTGCTCATATGTCTAGAAAGAGATTTTAATACAACGAATCCAATTTTGAAGTATTTTAAAATAATCAAAGCCAGACCTCCTATTTGTAGACCATGCCATTAGCCCTTTGCACCATCTTTCCAGTCCCCAAATATCTAAATATGTTTTTGCTATTTTTATTGAATTTGGACAATTATAATATTTCTAGTCTGGGGTGATACTTTTAAAGTCTTATAGTCTTAAATTGGGGGGGTTGTTTTTGAGTCATAAGTAGCAATGTTCAGGAGTTACTTCTGGCTCTACATTCAGAAAGTAATCGTGGCAGTGCTTGGGGATTATATGGAATGCAAGGGATCAAACCTAGGTTAGCTGCCTGCTATAGTATCTCTCCAGCCCTCCACTATTTATTTTGAAGAACAGCAGGACAGTTACATATAAAAATGTCTTTAGTTTCATATGTAGGAAGTAATATAGTTGCAACTGCTTACGGAAAAGAAATTCATTCTCTAACTCAAATGTCACATTAGGAGCTGGAGTGATAGCATAGCGGCTAGGGCATTTTTGCCTTGCACGCGGCCGACCCGGGTTCGACTCCCAGCATCCCATATGGTCCCCTGAGCACTGCCAGAGTAATTCCTGAGTGCAGAGCCAGGAGTAACCCCTGTGCATTGCTGGGTGAGACCCAAAAAGCAAAAATAGAAAAGTCGTATTGTTTCATGATTTCTGTGAGTAAATGTTTGGTGTGTACTAGTCCATACCATGTTGGATACACGGTGACTCAAAAAAAATGTACTGGGCATGTTTGTGTTTAGACACCCCAGCTCTCAACACACCCCCTGGTCAAATCTCATTGAACTCAAATTTCAAATTTCTCAAATTCCCTCTATTCCCAGGATGGGCTGACACCTTTACACTGTGGAGCAAGGAGCGGCCATGAGCAGGTGGTGGAGATGCTGCTGGATCGAGCTGCCCCCATTCTTTCAAAGACCAAGGTAATTTCTTCCTTAACTTTGCTTCCTTTTGATGGTTATTAACTTCAGATTTTTTAATTGCACGAATAGTGTTATGTATTCATTAGCACAGTAAATGAGTTTCGTTATTGTCGCACTATTGATTTGCAGTAAGTTTCAAGAGTGCATCTTCATGCCACAATTGATGTATATACCCACCCCAAATTTCTAGAACCATCAACCACACAAATTTACCCCCTTCCCTGTTCTTTCTGTTCCCCCACCTTCCAAATGCACCCTATCATATTTTCTAGCAGAAATTCTTCAGGCAAGAATAAAATGGTATGTTTATTAAAGGACAAAATTTATCACCCCAGCCTGGGATGTAGCTTAGTGGTAAAGTGCCTTGCACGTGTGAGGCCCTGAGTTTGTTCTACGGTACCACCACCGTAATAACTATAGCCCTACCAGCCAGGATCCTCCATGTTACAGAAATCACTCAAATATGATAAAGGCATAAAGACTGCCCTAGGCAAACATAAACTGATGGAGTTTATCACCATCACACCTGCCTTACAGGAACAATAGAAAGAGTGTTTGTTTGTTTGTTTGTTTGTCTGAGGGACCACACCTGATGATGTTCAGGAGTTATTCCTGGAAGACTTGGAGGACCAACTAGGGTTGAACCTGGGTTGAGGGTTCATTGCAAGGCAAACACCCTACCTGCTGTATAATCTCTCTGCCCCAAAAGGAGTGTTTCTTATAAAAAGAAAAAAAGCATACTAAGCTTGAAGTACGGTAACAAATTTAGAAAAACAGAATCTGAAGTATGAAAGCATTGATTGACTGAATCTGAAAGGGTAAATGATGACATCATTTTAATTAGCTATTTTGATGACTGTGTTCCCCTAATTTTTTAATAACTTTGAACTGTTGTCTTATAGAACCTTAGGTACAATACACCTTAGAATTACCTTAGACTACACCTTAGTAGAATTATACCAAGTTGTGGATTTTAGGCCATACCTGGCTATGCTCCTAGCTCTGTGGTCAAGGATCACTCCTAGCAGAGCTCTGAGAACCATATGTGTTGCCAGGGTTAGAAGCTGGGTCAGCTGCATGCAAGGCAACTACCCTACCCGTTTACCATTTCTCCAGTGCCAGCCTTCATTTTTGTGCATTGCTTTTGTTTCATTTTAGTCTTGTCAAGAGGATTATTGCTTGACCTTATCAGATTTTTGTAACTCTTAGTCTTTTATTCAACAGTTTTAAACACAAATATTTCATTGTATGTGACACTCTATTTACCTTTTGAGTGTTTCTGTCACCCAAACCAATCTTTTCCTTTCCTGTAGTCCTTTTCTATATCTCCTTTCTACTCCATTGTTATGTTCAAGTCGTATCATTTCTCAGTGAACCTTAATAATAGATTCCTTTGGTCCTTGTTCTTTTGCAACTCAGTTCCACTTTGCAGGCTGTCACCATATAAACTGTCAACCAGATCACATCAGACTCCTGTCTAAAGTCCTGTTTAATAAAACACTTCGTAATTCTTACTCTCTTTTAAATTAATTTCACTTTTTAGTTTAAAAATCGGGCTGGACAGAAAGAGCGGGATAGACACAGAAAGATTGCATTCATCTGGGGAACATAAAGCAACAAAATGGGAGACTAACACCCAGGAGTGGCTGAGATTAGTACCAGGAATTTTGCTCCATGACTTGGAGGCTAGCCACACGTGCTAGGGGAAAAGGAAGCTCAGATAGAGAAGAGAGCACCAAATAAAGGGTGTTGTGAGGATCCTCCCAGGGTGGGAGAAGCATGCTGAAAGTAGACTATAGACCAAACATGATTGCCACTCAATGCCTGTCTTGCAAAACACAGGACCCAAAAGAAGAGAGAGAGAACAAGGGGAAATGCCCTGCCACAGAGGCAGGGTGGGATGAGGGTATGGGGGCTGGGAGGGATGCTGGGACCCATGGTGGTGGAGGATGGGCGCTGGTGGAGGGATGGGTACTTGATCATTGTATAACTGAAAACCAAGCACAAAAATTTGTAAGTCTGTAACTGTACCTCATGGTGTTTCGCAAATAAATAAATAAATAAATAAATAAATAAAAATCGGGCTGGAGCGATAGCACAGCAGGTAAGGTGTTTGCCTTGCACGTGGCTGACCCAGGTTCGATTCCTCTACCTCTCTCGGAGAGCTTGGCAAGCTCCCCATGGTGTATTCAATATGCCAAAAACAGTAACAACAAGTCTCACAATGAAGATATTATTGGTGCCCGCTCAAGCAAATCGATGAACGACGGGGAAGACAGTGCTACAGTGCTACAGTTTAAAAATCAAATCTCCGTGAAAGAGAGATATTACCATGGATAATGCACTTGTGTTGCATGCAGCTGACCTGGGTTCCATCCCCAGCACCCCATATGGTCCCCTGAGTCCCACCAGGAATGATCCCTGATCTCAAAGCCAGGAGTAAGCACTGAACACTGCCAGGTTTGGCCGCCTAAAATCAAATTTTAAAGTCTCTTCCTTTTGTTCTTCTGATAAATCTTAATTCTTTTCCCATCTTTTGTGCTAATAGTTCATAGTTATTCATTATTAACACAAAATTGGTAATAGTCAGCAATGTTTTCTTCTTCTCTGATAGCTTCTTAAAGTATCCAATCTTGTTTTATGCAAATATTTTATTTCCTTTCTGAGAATATAGAGGATAATTTGAATACTGTTTTTTTTTCCTGTCCTCCTGTGTCCCTCATTGACTTTCTTCCTCTCCCACCCCTCCCGTGTTGACTTAGGCTCTCCTCTGGTGGGGGATTCCCACAAATATCACCCCTGAGGTGCTGGTTTAGGGGGAGACTAGGCAGGGCTCCCGGGAGCATATTAGTGGTGAAACAAGAGTCCTTGAATATGAGGATTAGTTGGCCTTTTCTTTGTTGTTTTGTTTGATGTTGACATGACAGTGACTTACAAGAATGTTTACAGAGGCTTATGTGTAAATTGCCTTTTTTCTTTAGGAAGTTTGGTTCTTGGAAAGATGAATTCATTCTCGAACCTTTGCTGGTACACTGGTGTGAGTACATTCATGGTATTCAGGGGAAAAGAAAAGGAGCCATCTGCCTCCTGTTCCTCCGTGCACACTTTAATCTTAATGATACCTTTTGTCTACAGTGATTACCGCATGCTCTCTGTTTATATTAACCCAGTTAGCCGTCTCAGTAAGATACTAGCATGACTAGCATACCCTTTTTATAAATTAGGAAGCCAAGACCCAGTGAGATTAAGTTGCTTCCTAGAGATATCTCAGCTAGTGGTGGGGCGGGGGGGGGGGGGGGGAAAGAGGGGGAGTGGGGGAACAAGGACTTGAAGTCATTGGGTCTAAAGAGTTCATACCCACAAAAGCTATGGTGTCCTCCCTCCCCTCCTCTCCCATTCCCTTCCCTTCTTTTTTTTGTATTAGTGAAACATCATGGGGTACAGTTGTAGACTTACAAATTCTTGTGCTTGGGTTTCAGTTATACAATGATTGAGTACTCATCCCTCCACCAGCGCCCATCCTCCACCACCATGGGTCCCAGCATCCCTCCCACCCCCTATACCCTCATCCCACCCTGCCTCTGTGGCAAGGCATTTCCCCTTGTTCTCTCTCTCTTCTTTTGGGTTCTGTGTTTTGCAAGAGAGGCAGTGAGTGGCAATCATGTTTGGTCTATAGTCTACTTTCAGCATGCTTCTCCCATTCTGAGCGGATCTTCCCAACGCCTTTTATTTGGTGCTCCCTTCTCTATCTGAGCTGCCTTTACCCTTAGAATGTGCGGCTGGCCTCCAAGCCATGGAGTGAACCTCCTGGTATTTATCACTACTATTCTTGGGGGTTATTCTCCTATTTTGTTATTTTATGTTCCCCAGATGAATGCAGTCTTTCTATGTCTATCCCTCTCTTTCTGACTCATTTCACTTAGTATGATACTTTCCATGTTGTACCACTTGTATGTAGATTTCATGACTTCATTTTTTCTAACAGCTACATAATAATCCATTGTGTAGATGTACCAAAGTTTCTTTAACCAGTCATCTCTTCTTGGGCACTCAGGTTTTTTCCATATTCTAGCTATTCTAAACAGTGCTGCAGTGAACAAACAAGTGCAGATGTCGCTTCGACTATACTTTATTTTGCCTCTCCGGGGTATATTCCCAGGAGTGGTATTGCTAGGTCAAATGGGAGCTCAATTTCTAGTTTTTTGAGAATCGTCCATACTGTTTTCCAAAAGGGTTGAACCAGTCGGCATTCCCACCGGCAGTGAAGGAGGGTCCCTTTATTCACCACATCCATGCCAACATAGGTTGCTTTTGTTCTTTTGGATGTGGGTCAGTCTCTGTGATGTGAAATGATATCTCATTGTTGTTTTGATCTGCATCTCCCTGATGATTAATGATGTAGAGCATTTTCTCATGTGCCTTTTAGCCATTCGGATTTCTTCTTTGAGAAAGTTTCTGTTCATTTCGTCGCCCCATTTTTTGATGGGTTGGATGTTTTCTTGTTGTGGAGTTGAACCAGTACTTTGTATATCCTTGATATCAACCCCTTGTCGGATGTGTATTTGGCAAATATCCTTTCCCATACTGTAGACTGTCTTTGTATTTTGGTCACTGTTTCTTTTGAGGTGCAGAAGCTTCTTAGTTTAAGATAGTCCCATTTGTCTATCTCTGTTTTCACTTGCTTGGCCAGTGGTGTGACATCTTTGAAGATACCATTAGCTTCAATGTATGGAGGGTTTTGCCAACTTTGTCTTCAATGTACCTTATGGATTCTGGTCTGATGTTGAGGTCTGGAGCAAACAGTCCTGAAATTTATATGGAACAATAAGCCCCCACGAATAGCTAAAACAATTCTTGGGGAAAAGAAAATGGGAGGAATCAACCTCCCTAACTTCAAACTGTACTACAAAGCAGTAATAATTAAAACAGCATGGTACTGGAACAAAGGCAGAGCTGCAGACCTATGGAACAGTATTGAATATACGGACATCTCCCCTCAA